CCTTCCTTCCTTCCTTCCTTCCTTCCTTCCTTCCTTCCTTCCTTCCTTCCTTCCTATAAGGCACTCAAGGCATTTAACACTTCTGCTCCCCTCCAAATAATATAAAAACAGTAGCTAAAATCTTCATATTCATCCAACTTAAACAGCCTAGCTGAAAATGTCTTCACTTATTTATATATTAAACACCAGCGAAGGTAAAAAATAGTTAATTGGCAAAACAGGTCAAAGGCAGGCAGACAGGGAAAGAAACAGATAAGAAAACAGGCAGTAATTCACATCATCTATATATCTCTGTATCTACTGTATATAGCAAAAGGCACAGACTTCTTCAGAGCCTTTGGAAACAATACTATGGGTAATTAGCATGTACAAACCCAAAGGGAATGGCCTCTGGTTATTCCAGCTTTAACCCTTTAATGTCTATAACAGTAGCAGTGATGGAAAGGAAGACACCAAGAGTTTCCCTTCGATATTCTGCACCATTAAAGAAACAACCAAGTGGAAAGAATGATGCATACAAGTTCATTTCACAGTTTGGGAGCAGTGTGTATTGATATACCTACCAGGACTTGATCATTCTGGGCAACCAAAGACAAACCAAGGGACATATTGAACGCGTCTCTTGGTCCTGCAAGAAATATACACTGTAGTGATGAAGATGATACAGTTTGCCAGTATATTTGGTGCTTCGTTCAGCACAAATCCCTATCTGCTAGAATTTAAAAAATATCCAGGAAGGACTGCAAATAATTCATTTCTACAATCCTGAACCTTGTGTAGCTCAGCCAAAGCTTAATGTCTTTGCTGTAACTAGGCTCAGCTCCTGACCATAATGTGCCACCCTTTCTGGAACTGGTCTCACCCTCTATTCTTCTGAATTTCCAATCAGATGGAATTTCTTTCCTTTGAAAGACACCCAGGAATGTTCCTCTGTGCCCAGTTCCTTCTCCAGTCCTTGCAAAGGGGCAGAACTCCAATTCCCAACCTAACTCTTTCCCTTGAGCACAAGGTTCCATCCAGATAGGAAACCGAGGGGGTCTTCAAACCTACTTTGGATGCTAATCTCTTTACAGTCACCAAAAGGGTAGGTGCACTGGTAGAATTTGCCCATTTCGTTCACCTGTCCTGTCTCGAATGGGGCCCCAATGAGCACCCTGGGGGGAGAGAACAGAAGGATGATTAATATTTGCACAACTCCTTCAACATTGTTGGTTCTTGACGATGCAAGATATACAAGATTAGTGGTCTTTAGCAAATGGATCACAAAGAGAGAAGCCAATAGGGCAGTGTTTCTCAACCTTGGCCACTTGAAGATGTGTGGACTTCAACTCCCAGAATTCCCCAGCCAGCATGGGAATTTCTGGGAATTGAAGTCCACACGTCTTCAAGTGGCCAAGGTTGAGAAACACTGCCATAGGATGATATTGATGTATTGTCAAAAATATGCAGAAAATATTATGTTGATCTGGGGTAAAACTATGCTAGATAGGTCATAGATAGATAGAGATGATAAACAGTTGATAGATAGAGATAGATGATAGATAATGGAGAGAGAGAGATGCAGATTTAGAAATAATTCTGTAACATAAATAGAAATGCAAAGATTTTCATAGCCACTATTTTATTGATGAAATGACTTCTGGGAATTGCCAAGTGAGTCAATGAACGTGCACTAGTGTTTCACTAACTCTAAGGTCAGATTCTTCAGAGCAGATCTGAAACTTAACTCAGCATGAATGTTATGTATTAATATACGGCTTCTGTTCGACAAAGAGGAATGTCCACAACCAATCCCTGACCATCACCGAGACAATATTTAATAGCCTCTTCCTTACTTAAATTATTTGGAACTTTATGAATTTGCTCCTCTGTGATATTGCACCAGAATGCTGATATTCTCCAGGTTCATTTTATGAATTGGCCTTTGGGATAGGTGTAAAACTAAAGCTGTGTTTTTTTAACCTAATGCTCCTTTGGTGTACTTTAATTTAAAATTAATTCTACATCAGTCTAGCCATCTGATGAAGTTGGCTGCAGCTCACAAAAGCTTAGGACTTTTAATAAATGTGTTAGTTGGAATAGGTGCTACCAGACCCCTGATTTTTCGCCATCCTGGGCTGAATTTCTCTATAGCCGCTGGAACATTGCTGGCATCAGGGAACAGCACTGGAGGAATAGCAAAATAATGTAGGGTTTTCAGCCTCCAGAAGCAGAAATAAATATTACAGGCAGGGAAAAAGGAAGTGTAGAAAATGAGAGTTAGATCAAGACATCCTGAGCTTTGGAGTGGGTGTAAAAACCAAATCAAAAATCAGTTTTCTCTTACTTATTCCTGTTCTGGGCAACACTTATCCCAAAACTCTGACTTTGCCCTTGGAAGATCGTTGGTGTCTCCACATCCACACTGAATCCATAGCACCACGGCACCAACACTGTTGGAGACAAAGAGACTGTCACTTAGCTCTTAAGTCCCACATTTGTCCTTCCCGAGATGATGAGGACACATACACAAGTTGCTGTTCCTCAAGGTTCAGTTAGAGGCATCGTGCCAGAAATCTCCTTTATCACCTTTGTCTTTTGCTGTCACCATTAAAGCTCTTTTCTGCTTTAGAAAACCAAGAAGTCTCTAAAGCAGTGTTTTTCAACCTTGGCAACTTTAAGACGTGTGGACTTCAACTCCCAGAATCCCCCAGCCAGCGTGCTGGCTGGGGAATTCTGGGAGTTGAAGTCCACACGTCTTAAAGTTGCCAAGGTTGAAAAACATTCTTCTGAAATAACAACTGGGGGAAACCTATAGAATAACACCAACACTTGGTTAACAGAGTGGCCAAATTGACTTTAATTAACTAACTTTAAATTGTTCTTAAAACAGGTTTGCTTACATCTACAAGGCATCTTTATTCTGTCACCACTAGTCTACCCCAGCAGCAAAAATATTCCTAATTCTGCCACCTTGACGGGGGGAGATAATCCCAGGCCAGGACTCTGAGCCTCCTCAAACCCATCTTTCCAGCCCATCATATCCCTTTCCTCCAGTTCCCTCTTCCTGCTGGAATATAGCCTGGGAAGAAATGCCCTGCATTGCCATCCTTTGATTGGCAGCTCCATCCCCCACCCCACCCCCCATCATCACAGTAGTCAAGATAAAGGCATCTCAGGGCATGTGCAAACTGCCTTTCTCACATGCAGCTAAAAGTAGTTGAACAGGAGGCAAATTCCAAGGAAAATATTCCTATTCAGATTGGTTTGCTAAAAATCAATGCATGTCCTTAAAAATACCTCCGAGAAATAAGAAGAGCTCTGAAGGATCAGTTAAAGATTGAGCAAGTCTAGCATCCCCCTTTTCAGAACAAACCATACATACTGGGAGTCAACAACTTGTGTGTGGACTTCCAATATGTGTATGGTTGACTGTTCTTCTTGGAAGTCCACAAGCAAGACGCAAGGACAAGAGGACCTTCCCGTGAGTGTTCTCCAGAGATGAGCATTCAGAAACCAGCCGCCACTAATTCAGGCAAGAGCAGTTATCACAGTTAGTAGCCTTCAATAACTTTGTTCTCCATGAATTTACCTAATCTCCTTTCAACCTCCCAGGCCCTTATTCCACACAATGGAAGGGAGCCCATAACACGCCCCATTTTCAGAAGTTGCAGAAAAGCCAATATCTGCATTTATTGCTGACTGGAAACCCCTTATGGACTTTTTGCATGAAACAGAAAAAAATGAACGTATGATTTATGGTTTGATGATTAGACAGAATAGATTATAGAAAGAAGAGAGTCATGTTGTAATCACAGACTAAGAGATAAACTTATAATTGTACTTATAACTGCTGTAAAGAAGATTAGAAGCCACGTCATTGTACTTTTTTTCTTTATTTTCTCTATTTCTTTTACTTCTTCTTTTACTTTTTAAACACTTTTAGTTTTCTTTCTGATTTCTTCCTTTTCTTTTTTCTTCTTACTTTTTAAAACTATCTTCCTTCCTTCCTTCCTTCCTTCCTTCCTTCCTTCCTTCC